GGGGGTTTTTTTTTTTTTTTTTTTGTGAAAGTATCTGGCACCCTCCACAGCTCAACCCCTCTGCCCCCATATCCCTTCCCATATCCTGCACCCCAATCCCCTTCCTCAGGTCACAACTCAAACTTCTGCACCTCAGTCCCCTGCATCCTAGTCCCCTAACTCAGATCACAACTACCTCCTTCATCCAAGCTACCTCCCAGACCCCACATCCTCTCCTGCAGCTCCTCCATTAATATGGAAGACTGCAGCCTTTGACCACATTCTTGGAGTGGCCCCCTAGCAAAAAAAATTGCCCTCCCCCATCTAGTTTAATCCTTTCTAACCTGGATTGGTGGAGGGAACCTTGAAATTGAGATGTGTATTTATAGGCTGGGGGGAAGATGCTAGTGTAATATGGAATCTCTCTAAGAGTCCAGTTCTCAACCACTTGCATTTATTCTGCTCAATAAGTTACCACACCCAGCTATTACCTCAGTGAAGGGAGCCTGCTGTACTACATCTCTTTGGCGGTCTCTGCTTTATAACTTCAGTTGAAAATGAAACTCATGTGATAGATGCAAAAGGAAGGAGAGTCTCTGATGCCAGCCTGCCATTCATTCACTTCCCAGCTGTTGTTTTGCAGATGTCTGTGGCTTTCCCCCATTGAGTCCCCAGTGGCTATCCAGACGTGTTGTCGGAGGAGAAGAAGCATGTCCCCATTGCTGGCCTTGGCAGGCAGGCTTGCAATTTCTAGGTGACCACCAGTGTGGTGGCGTCGTCATCAGTCCAACATGGGTACTCACAGCAGCCCACTGCATACAGTCGTGAGTAAATCTGTCTGGGATATGCTTCTGTGTAAGTAGTCTCCTCTAGGATAGAAAAACAATGCAGGAAAGTACCGTAGACTTCCGATAATCTGGCACCTTTTGGACCTAGGTAGTGCCGGATTATCAGATTTGCTGGCCAGGACACAATCTCCCTCCCTCTTCTCCCCCCCCCCTTTCCTCTTCCCATCTCTCTCCTCCGTGCTGTAACTTGATCCTCCTCTCCCTTCAATCCCCTTTGCTGAAGCAAAACGCTCTTCTCCGTACTGTAACACGATCCCACTCTTCCCCCACTCCCCCACACACCTTATACTCTGTCTGGTTACAACCAGCATGTGTGCTGAGCAGCAGGCTTTTAATCAGCTAGTCAGGAACGCTTGGAATTTTGATGCTGGAATATCAGGAGTGCCGAACAGTTGAATGCCAGACTATCGGAGTTTTACTGTATCCATGTTCCCATATATACAACTCTCTGTTGCTTGTTTCCAAGCCGTATTTTAGTCTTTCTCTCTGGAAAATGTCGGCTTGGGGAGAGGGCAGTGGTGAGGGGGTCACATGAAATCCAACCTTACGTATTTTATCAACTTCCACTTGTCATGGCAAAGCTCGGATCCATCAGTCTGCGGGGGAGAAAGCTCAGTGACTAGTTAAACTGCCCCTGAAAACTAAGCAAAGGATGCTCATAAAGAACACTGTCTATGCACAGGTCCAATACGGTTGTTTCCATTTTACAGAAAAAGTCGACCTCTGCACTGGACTGTCCTTGTGGGAGACCATGATAGAACCTTGAAGGAATCAACAGAACAGGTAGAGACTAAGACTGTAGCGATGCCTCTGCCTTGCTGCTTCACGTTAGACCTGTGTGTGCTCTAGATGAAAGCCAGGGCTAACAAAAAGATGGGTGCCTTGGGTGATGGAAGGGAAGAAGAGTATTTGAAATAAAATAGACTGTGGCCTTGCACACCAAGCCTAGCCCACAGTGAGACCTTGTATATTGTTCTGTGTTAGTATCTCTCTTAAACACTACGTGGCAAAATGCAGGTCTTGTTGTCTTAGCATTGGGCAATACATATCTGCACAGAATCACTTGTTGACCAGTGCCTTTTTATGCGCTAAACTGAGTCAAGGGGGAGTAGTTCTTGATTTTTCTGAAAAAGTGTATTGTCTTAGATGCAGGCATGCTGGAACAACTTGTATAGTGGAGGTGCTGAGAGCCATCAAACCAAACTGTAAGCCCCGTATAACATGAGATATAAGAGTTACCTCTTGCTATTGGACAGTCCATCAATAAGTAAGATCAGTCCTATACCTACAGCTCATTCTACCACACCACAAACATCCAAAGGCTAAGCAAAAGAGGTGTGATATCAGAGCATTGCAAGGCCAAACCAGCTGCAAGATGTTCCAGCAACATCTGTGTGAGAAACTCTGTAACCTTCCTGATGACAACAACATTGACATTCAAGAGCACTGGGATCAACTTAAAAATACCATTCATAATGTGTGTGCTGAAACTCTAAGCTATTCCACTCATCGGCACCAAGATAGTGTGGTGAAAACGAGGAAATTCTAGTCTTACTTCAACAGAAAATAAATGCATTTTGTAACTGGCAAAATGGTTCCCCTAACAAAAACCTGAGGCCTATCACCTGCTTAAAGCCAAAGTCTAAAGAAGGCTGGGTAGCATCAAAAACAAGTGGTGGCAAGAGAGTGCCTCAGATTCAGGATTTTGTAGACCAGGGTGATATGAGAAGCTTCCTTCAAGCAACAAAAGCTATACTTGAACCAATCTTCAAAGGTCCAAACCCCTTAGGTTCCTAGGATGGCTCTACTCTTCTCAAGGACAATGCAACCATTGAATAATGGTAGAAAGAGCACTTTGAGAACCTACTAAATGGTGACTCCATGCTCTCTGAAGACACCATAGAGTTTATTCCACAACACTCAGCAATGCAACACCTTGATGATTTCCCCCATTTTTCTGGGCATACTGGAGTTCCTATCACCTTCCTAGACCAATAAATAAATCACAGGGCACCAGCCTCAGATGGCATCCCAGCTGAGCTATTTAAAGCTGCTGGTACAATGCTCCAGCAAAAAACATAGCCAGTTCCTCAAATGAATTTCTTCAACCAGTGAAGAAATTCCACCTGACTTCAAGAATACCAACATTGTTAGAATAGTCCTGAAACGGGGCAAATCTTTGTGCAGGAACTACAGAGGTTTTACTTGCTCAGATCCTACTAAACTGCTTTCTTCCCCTTGCTGAGAACTCCTTTGCAGATCAGTGTGGCTTTAGGCCATCTCAAGGAGCAACTAACATGATCTTCATGGCACAACAAGTTCAGGAGAAATTCAGAGATCAACATCAGGAACTGTTCATGGCATTCATCCACCCAATCAAGGCCTTTGACTTCTACGACATCAATTATGATGTCCTATAGAAGGTGCTGTGTAAGCTTGGCTGTTCGCAGAAATTCATTTCCATCATGAGACTACTCCATGACGGAATGACTGTTAACATTTTGTGCAACTGCTCAGAGACCAAACCATCCATTTGCATTGGTATCAAGCAGGGCTGTGTCATTGCTCCAACGCTCTTCTCCATTTACTATGCCTTAATTCCGATTCACATTCACAGCTGCTTTCCTGATGGATCAGGATTGAGTTGGCATTCTATAAAATACTCTTCAATTGTCAATGTCGCCAAACAAAATGTAAGATACTAAGAATTGGCATTGCTGACCTTCAGTATGTAGATGACTGTCCTTCTTGTGTGCACACCCAGGCTGATTTGCAAAACATCCTAAATCTTTTTGCAGATGTCTATACTAGCCTAGGTCTTGGGGTCTCTCACTCCTGTGTGCCAACACATCTTTTAGAAGGCCACTCAAATGAGCCCTCAGTCTTAGGGATCTACAAACAGGCACCAAATCCAAGATCTTGGTTTACAATGTGGTTGTTGTCATCCCCACCCATCTCTATAAGTTACCCAGGCCTCACACCCATAGACACCTCTCAAGTAGCTGGGGTGGTCCCAGGAGCACTACCTCAGGAAGATTCTCAGGATCAGCTGGGAAGACCAATGCACTCACTTCAGGCTTTTCTCTGCAGCCAACATCAGCACTCAGGTCATGAAGCACCAAATCTGCTGGGATGGCCACTCCCCTCCTGAAGCAAGTGCTCTTCCTTCAGGTCTGGGAAGAAAGGCTTGTGGAGGGCAGAAGAAGTATGTTTCAAAGACATACTGAAGGTACACCTTTAAAAAGGGAGGCGTCGACCCAGCAAACTTGGAGGACTCTGCATTGTACAGAACACCATGGCACTATACCGTACACCAAGCCATGCTCTCTTTGAGGAGAACAAAAGCGATCGTGAGAGGGGAGCAACAAAGGCGGAAAGAAAGGGCACAACACTCCAGCCAACAACTCTCTTCTCCAAGAGAACACCTGTCCCTTCTGTGGGGGAAAATCTGCAGAGCTCTTCAGCCACTTAAACTCACCCCTATGACAGACATCCTCACATCAAGGGATAGCTGGGGAAGAGGGGGGGGAACCCTGTATATGATGGAACATCTTTCAACCCAGAGGGCACAGCAGCAGCACCCATCGTTCCAGCATTTATGCTTGTATTTGCACAATGAAATAGAATCCTCATTCCCATCCTCAAGGGATTTTAAGACAATCTCTTCTATTTGGGGCCTATCCAAAGTACTGGAAAATATACATAATGACTTCCAGAATCCCAAAACTTCCGGTTTTTTACTCTATCCTGACGCTAGTCTGTCCTTATTCCAAAATGTACTCTGATAATGGAGCTTAAAAGGGAACGGGTTCAGCTGTATCTTCCTTGGGCCAACCTCTTTCATCTCATTTTCCTTTATTAATATTTTGGTACAGGTGAGACAGGTAAAAACGGTTGTGGTGCACCCTGACTTTGATAGAGTGAGCTATGACTCTGATATTGCCCTGATCCAACTGGACGTCCCTCTGGAGTATAACTCCGTTGTGAGGCCAGTATGTTTGCCCAACAGCACGGAACCCTTATCTCCCTCTGGACTGTGCACCATGACTGGCTGGGGGACTACACAAGAAGGTATGCATTATGTTCCTCTCTAAATGGGATAACAAGATGTCTGAAGAGTCTCTCCCTCCTATATATCTTAGTAATATTGTAGGGTGTGCTGAGCATTGTGGGGTTGAGATGTGGATAGCAGGATCCACTGCTCTTCCCACACACATGTAACTTTAGTGTTTAGGAGCTTTCTACCAATCACTGTGCAAATAGACATTTCTTAAGTGTTACTTGGGGGCTAGCTGACTTTGCATCTGTCCAGCTGTGATTAGAAGAGTGTCCAGGACGGCAGACCTAGCAGTTGCTTTTTGCTTTTATATTCGGGGTCTTACTGTCTGACTTGTAGGGAGTGGAAAGCCTGACAAACCATCAAAAGGTTAAAATGATCAGGGCACAAAAGAGAGGCTCATAAACAAGAGGTGTATTCACGTAGAGAGAAACTTGAGCTAGGCTTGGGGAACATTTGCTAAAATCTCAGCTATTGCTGCATTTGAGCCCAGTTGCTGGGCAAAGCCAAATCGAGTATCTATTTCTGTTCTGAAATGGCTGTATATACTGTTGGCAAAGGGAGACCCTCCATAATCTGGCATATGGGGTACAGGGCACCAGCCTGCATCCTCCTAACTGCATTCCTGACACCGTGCTCTCATCATCAGAGGGTTCAGATGACTTAGAGGAAAGTCCAGTTTCTGTACTCAGCAGCCTGGTTGGATCAGAATTGTTGCTGTTAGTAAGCAGACATGGGGGAACATGTTTTCAGCTGACTTCTCTTTCTGGTGGTTTGCATCCCCAGCAGGCTTTTTTTTAACCCTGCACATAATTTACAATGTGCTAAAGTTCCTCTACCAATTTCTCTCTCCAGCAGATGGGAGCCTTGCTAATCGACTGCAACAGACACAAGTACCCATCCTGGAGAGTGAAGTCTGTGAGAGAAATTATTATTTTCATCACCCTGGAGGGATCACAGCTCGGATGCTTTGTGCTGGTTTTGCTTCCTCTGGAGGTCAGGATTCCTGCCAGGTAAGTCTCTACTAAAAGAAAATTTAATTGGAGGTGAGTCTCGGTGATTTTTTCCCCCCCCTGCGTATTTTAACCTGGCAGGATGTGTTGGGAAAAGTTTGGTAGTTAGTAGACCAAATCCTGCCAATGAGGCAGCCACACTCGAACTGGCACGAATGGGTGGTGCTTAGACGATCAAAGGAACAAAACACAATTAGTCCAAACTAGAACTGAATTCAAAACATGGAGCTGAAGAAGCATAGTGGCAAAAAGGACCATTTGGTCTATTTGGGTTTTTGATTGTAACTGTGATTGGGCCTGAGTAAGTCTGGGTGAGGGGCTGTTCTTCCATTTACATTTCTTGAATGATGCTTCAGGGAATAGGTGGCAGAATCACATTAGAACATTGGGTTACACTTTTTATATTAATGAGGGTAATTTAACAATTGTTCAGTAGTCCAACAGGTCGATAGGTTCCTTATGATAGTCTCACACCTACTGTGTGCTTCCATCTATAATAATATATTCATGCCTGTAAAACATTTCACTTCTACTCACTTTTTTATTTTATAAACACTTGAGAAACTAGTAGCTGACAGCCTATTCTGTTGCCAGGAATATGGCAGTGGAGTAAGTAATAGGTATCCGTGCATTCTCCCTCATGCAACCAAGGAAACTGAAGCATGCAAATCCAGCTGTGGAGGAAGGGTGGTGATTGTGATATAAATAACAACCAATGGCCTACCAGTCCCCTCAGGCGTAGATATGTGTCTTACACCTGTGCAGTGCTAGCTCTGTAATTTGTAAATGGCTGAGAACTTAACAAAATGGACAGTAATGGACTGCAAAACTCAGTGGTGATTGAACATGGTGGCTCTTTAAAGAAAAAGACCTACAACCATTGTTGCTGGTTTCATCACTTCACACTGATTCTACAGGCACGTTCAGTTTCAGAGTGACCATTTATGGAATCTCGTCTAGATTATACATGGTGTATTTTGGCTTTCATCTATCAGAGATGGTCTAGATGGTACTGGGTCCTGCCATGAAGACAGGGGAATGGACTTGATCCCTCTCGAGATCCCTTCCAGTTCTAATGTTATGAGTTTATGGGGTCTGTATATAAAATATGACTGAATTTAGTACCTCCTGTTTCCCAATCCTATGTTAAGTCTTTAGATAACGCTGCCTTTCTAATCTAATGTATTGAGTTAGCCATCCCAGTCCATGATAAAGAAAACAGGAGGATGAACTGGGCACACTCAGATCTCCTATTCAAACGTTTCCCCTTAGCTATGGTCCGTGACTGCTCCTCCTACACTCTTAGCAACAGAAGCTTAGAGTATAGGAAGAACGTGAGTGCAAGAAGTTTCTACTAATATTCTAAAGTCCCTCATTGTGCTTTCAGGGTGATTCTGGTGGCCCCTTGGTTTGTCATAATGAAAAAGAACCATTTATTCTTTATGGCATCATCAGCTGGGGTGTTGGCTGTGCCAGACCAAAGAAACCAGGAGTTTATACAAGGGTGAGGGTCTTCCTGGATTGGATCAAATCCACTATAAGAGGTAAAGATCTTTTTTCTTCTAAGCAGCGTATGTCCTTAAAGATTTATTTTCTGGAAGTAATCCAATTATTCTGTGGACAGAATATAGAAAAATACCATTATTTCTCACAGGAAATGTGGGAGGGAAATGCATATATTTAGGTTCCAATATTTTCTCCCCAACACACCCCTCTCCCTCCTGAAAATTGGGGAAAAAATGGTTTAAAAAATTGTGTGGTGTAACTTTTTTTTTTCTCTTTGTTTCTAAATCACATGAAATGGGTGGTTTAAAAAGCTTGCTTTTGGATTAAAAAAATTAGTCAGCCCAATTTTGGAAAGGCATAACTTCTGGGATAATGATGTGAAGTACAGTGCACTGATATACTGTACACCAAACTCTGGTCTACTATTTGATATCTTCACAAACTGCTGTGGAATTGGGATGTCTTCCTAACTGAAGTAGGGCAAACAGCTTATTCTCTTTCCAAGAGCAATTTCACTGCTGATGTAGCAACTACCCATCTCAACAGATATTTCTAATTATCCATCTTGTCAGGCTAGAACAGGAGGATGCAAAACAAAAAAGGGATAGAGAATAGGACAGAGAACATCTTATTGCCTCTGTGTAAAACCATGGTACACCCATCTCTTGAATACTGCATACAGATGTGCTCACCTTATCCCAAAGAGGTATTGGCATTGGATAAGGTTCAGAAAAGGGAAACAAACATGATTAGGGGTGTGGAACAGGTCCCGTATGAAGAGCAGCTAAAAAGATTGGGAGTTTTCAGCTTAGAAAAGAGGAGACTAAGGGAGGCTATGACAGAAGACTATAGAGTCATGACCGGGGAGGAAAAAGTGAATAAGGAAAAGTGATTTACTTGTTCCTATAGCATAACAACTAGGAGCCACCTAATGAAATTAATAGGTAGCAGGTTTAAAACAAAGGACGTTTTTCTTCACACAGCACATGGTCTGCCTATGGAATTCCTTGCCAGAGGAGGTTGTGATGATCAGAACTTCCACAGGGTTCAAGAAAGAGCTAAATAGATTCATGGAGGTTAGGTCCATCAATGGCTATTGGCCAGGATGGGTAGGAATGGTGTCCCTAGCCTCTGTCAGAGGCTGGGAATGGGTGAAAGAAGAGGGATTACTTGAATATACCCCATTCTGTTCACTCTCTTTTAGACATCTGGCATTGGCCACTATCAGCAGACAGGATATTGGGCTAGATGGACCTTTGGTCTGACCCAATATGGCCCTTCTTACAATGATAATTTCTCTTGCTAAGCAGAGTAGATTTTTACCTTAATATTGCAGCTATGTGCGACTCAGCATAATGCTTTTATAGATGATGTAAATAGAAATGTACTAGTGTAAAATGCAGCTCAGTTCCTTATCCTGATTTCCAGCATAATGGGTTACAAATGATCCACTTGATGGCCTGCTTAGCCTAGTCATCCAGTACACTTTCATTGAATAAGCATGATTTTTTAGATTTGCTGTTAACTCAAATGAAGAGGAAAAACAAATATCAGCATAGTCAGACTCAGCGTGAGCATTGGTAAGAGTAGTGACCACTGTAAAACAAAATTCCACATGGCTGTGGTTCATGATGAGAGCTGTCTCCAATCAGCTCCCCCAGATGAATTGAAAGGTGGCTAGAAATCTTTCACATTGGAAGATCTACTATGAATGTGTGTTGGCCATTAGCTTTCTGTGCCTTTTTACCCTAAAATAATTAGTCTCGGGAAGAGAAGTGCACTGAGATTCATCTGTAAATCAGTTCCTGTGGTTGAAGTTCCCTTCTGCCTCTGGATAGATGGCTTCATTTGCAAGGCTTCGTGTTTCATTATCACTTCATACTCAAGGCTATGGAATGTCTTGATCCTGTGTATGAGTACTGTCTGGTTTCCCCACAAAGTTGTGTTTCTACAGATTAATAAAATGTGTCCAGGGCTACATAAACTTTGTTGTACCTGTTTCTACAGAGATTGAACCAACTGCACTTCAGATAAGTAGTAATGGACATGAAACCTTAATGCAGATGCCAATGAAACAGCCAACAGAACTAATGGGCACTTCATACAGACAAGGTAAAAATGCTTCTGCAGCTATACTCACTTCATACTGCAGCTTGTCTGTCTGCCTTGCATACTCTTGTAACCTGTGGAAGGTGGCTAAGATTCAGCTTGGTTGTATTGTACAGGGTGCCAAGCTCTGCAAATGTTGCTCAAGTGTGGATAGGCCAAAAGCTTTGTTGTAATAATGCATTTCTTGGAATTGCCTGCTGAGACAATAGTTAGATACAAATAAACTTTTGTAACCCTCACATGAGTGCAGATGAGGTGAGAATCGATAGTTGAGTCTAAACTGGGTTTACAAACAAAATGACTTTCTTTTGCATTCCATCAACCATAAGATTTTTTTCCTCTGACTCTTTTTTTTTTTTATTTTTAAAAGATGAAACCTTTCTTGCTGTTAGTGTCCCTAACATTACCGCACTTTGCAATTTTTGGCCACTTGATAGCCACCATGTTCTCATGCTCCTTCCCAGCCCCCTAGTATTAGCATAACTGCCCATTGGAAAACAGTTTCTATCTTTTTTAAATATTGCGTGAACAATTGGTCAAAGGATGCAATATAATTTTGATTGTTAACTATAAACTAGTTCTCCAGTATCTACTTCAGTAAGAACTTGGCCCCTAATTAGCAGGTTTTGTTACAGCATCATGACTCACTTGAGTTAAAATACTAATTAACCCTCATCCTTGCAAATTTGGGTAAATGTTAGAATGCCCATTTAACAAACTGATAAACTAGAAAGTAACCAACCCTGCTTGGTCCAAGAGCAGAACCTGGGTCCCTCGGAGCGAAGGCATGGACTGCTGACACCTGAGTTGATGGACCAAGTCCCCTACTTGAAGGAAGTAGCAGACTCTCAAACTTTTATATGGATCAGGCCAGTCTTTACTACAATGACAAGCTCCTAATGTAGGTTATAGAGGTTAAGATTAATGCCTGCTTTCCTTAATGGAACTTGCTTTTAAGACCACCTACAGTAGTGGAGGGAATGACAACACTAGGTCTAATACTTGACGCTCCTGAATCTGCAAGGATTTCAGAAAGGCCCATTATAGTGAAAAGACTTTTGGCTCCAAACACAGTTCCATTTTTTTTCATGGTTCCAAGGAATGTTTTGAAAGTAAACCATTCTATTGGTTGCACCTTGGACAGCTGTCTTTTGAAAGAGAGGATCCAATGGTAACGCATAATTTTAAAGTGCCACCTCTCAGCACTCTATACTCGGTGGAGGGGACCATAGGGAATGCTTAGCTTTGTTTTCAAAGGGAATGGGGTGGATAAGAGCAGACCCAAGGTCCTCCATAGAATTAGGATCCTTTTGGGGTTCAGGCACTCGATTCAATTCTGCTTCTGCCCCAGATGTACTGTCAATCTTGGGCAATTTACTTACCCCTGGGGACTAAAGGTAGAAAGGGTTACTATTTCCTGTCTGCTGCTCTGCCAGTCTTGTCTATTCAGACTGTAAGCTGTGCAGGGCAGAGACTGATTCTCGTACATAAGCACAGCAACGCCTTGTAGAACCGAGTCCCCATTTTGATTGGGGCTGTAGAGGCTACCTCAATGCAAATAGGATGGTGATAAACAATTTGGCCTTTGATTCAACCTCCCTCATCTGCCGTATGCTGAATACACACTGACAGCTGCTCTTTCACAGATGAAGCAGACAACATTGAAGGAAGAGAATGGTGAAAGCATAGAGGGTAAACAAAAGAACTGTTTAAAAAAAAAAAAGATTAGCTTTGGGGCCTTGCCAAGTGCTATTGCTCACTGCTTTAAACATCCAGCCACTTCAAGAGTTACTACCAGTGGCTCAGCTTGCTTGCACTGTTACTGCTTCCCTGTTTTCTCTGGTATGTGCTTCTAAGCCATGGTAATTGGTACCCAGGCAGATAACTTCAGCAGTAGTCCAGGATTTGGATGGCCATTGAGACTGAAGAATAGTTCCACCAGGACAGTGTGGGGAATGAAAGGAAGTATATATGAGCACTCTAAAATCATGACAGGTGTGGAAAAAGTAAATAAGTATTTACTCAGAGAACTAGGGGGTTACTCAAGGGAACTAACAAGTAGCAGATTTTAAACAAACAGATTTATTTCTTCATGCATCACACAGTCAACCTGTGGGACTCCTTGCAAGAGGATGTTACGAAGGCCAAGAATACCAGAACGGCCATATTGGATCAAACCCGAGGTCCATCTAACTCAGTATTTTGTCTTCTGACCATGGCCAGTGACAGGTGCCCCAGAGGGAATGAACAGAACTGGTAATCATCAAGTGATCTATCCCATCACCCAATCCCAGCTTCTGACACAGACACTAGGGACACCATACCTGCCCATCCTGACTAATAGACATTGATGGACCTGTCCTCCATCAATTTATCTAGCTCTTTTTTTAACCCTGTTATACAGAGCTCAACAAAGAACTAGATAAGTTCTTGGAGGATGACTGTTAGCCAGGATGGGCAGGGATGGTGTCCGTAGCTTATCTGTCAAACTGGGAACAGGCGACAGGTCACTTGATTGCCTGTTTATGTTCATTCTCTCTGGGGCACCTGGCATTGTCCACTGTTGTCAGACAGGATACTGGGCTAAATGGATCTTTGATTTGACCCATTGTGGCTGTTCCTAGGTAACTAGCCAATTAGCCCATCTTAAGATGGGATTTTAGTTCTCTCCTCCACATCGATCTTCTCTCCTGAGCCTCCGGTCTCTTGCTCCATCTCTCTCTCTCCTCCTACCTTCTGTCCCCCCTCCCCCCCCTCTTTCAGCTCTCCTCCACCTCCTGCCTCTCACTCGGGGGACTGCGAAGCCCAAATGGCTGTTTGGGCTCCGCACTCCTCAGGCTGCATGGGGACCGCGGAGCCCAAATGGTCGCTTGCGCCGCTTGTTCCCACGCGGTGGCCTGCCTGAGCAGCACAGAAGTCAGCCAAGCACCACAGCAGGAGGTGAAGGGGGGTGGGGCGGTGATGTTCATGGGCGGGGCCTGGATCCGCTGTCACGCTGCACGTCACTGCCTTGCCCCCCTTCGCCTCCCACCATGGCGCTCGGCTGACTTCTGCACCGCTCAGCCATGCCACCGCGGGGACACAAGTGGCTGTTTGGGCCCTGCACTCCCCATGCAGCATGGACCGTTGAGAGGGAACAGCCAGCATTTCAGCATTACAGACTCTCAGACATTGGGCTACTATGGGGTGGGAATGCCCACACAGTTGTGATACCTCTTCCATGCAGACAGCATCAGTTACCAGCATATAAACCTCAGCATTTGATTATTCTCTATATAGGCAGTTAAAATGAGAGCGAGGCTACATATTCCTTTGCATTCTTGGCCTAACCACCCAGCTGCTAAAATCTGAACTGCTGGCTTTTTCCCATTATGAGAAGGGAATGCTGATGAATAATGTCTCGGACGAGGGGTGGTGATGTCATTGCTAATTTTAGCAGGGATTTCACAAACCTCATTAGAGAGAATGACTAACCAAATACTAAAGCTTTTCTGAAGAGGTTATAGATACTGCTGTGAGATGCAAAAAGCTGTATTATATACAGGATTAAAGAGAAACCGTTCTCACTACACTTTAATTTTCGCTCCTGTCACTTTAATTTTCGCTCCTGTTTTATAACACTCACGCAGATGCTTCAAAATATTTCCCTATTGATTTGTCTCTTTCCACTTGGGAATCAAAGTCAGTATTTCCTATCTGTGTGCATGGAGCACAAGCCAACACAACTTTTTCTTGTTCCCTTATCTTTGTGCTTTCTAAGCAGAGAGAGGGTTCTTTGATTTCTTCAAAAAATTCATTAACTTGCTGGAGCTGTTGCTTTAAGGCTGGACAGGTTAGTAAGAGACCAGTGTCCAGATAAAGAACGAATCATCACACTGGAAAATTGTGCAGATCAATTTAACATATGAATGCTTGAGATGGGTATACAATGGTGAGAAAAATCAAGATTAGCCACTTCAATCTGGGGCTGTCCTAGATGATTGGCTGTTAAGCCAGATTTGCCTCTTTATTTTAATCTCCCATTTTAGAGGCCTGACAGTCTGGGCGCACAATCACTTTGGAGATGTTGCCTATCTCACTTCCAGTCCTGGACTGCTGGGGCTTTCTGCTTGCTTTGTATCACTGAGCACTTTAGTACAGAGGATGAGTTTTCAGTGCTTCACATCTATCATTTCAGGCATTAGAGACCTGGGGAATGCCTACATACAAACTAATGAGAAGTATACAATAGCTTTATTGGGGAGAAGCAAGTTTTTGCTCTTGATTACTCATGTGCATTTCCATTGGCTTTGAGGATTGCACATTTGTAACTGAGGGCAAACTTTCATCCTTTGTCTTACAAGAGACACTTAGTGCTCTGGGTCTCAGTGATGACAGGAAGACTGAAGAAGTAATATGCAGTACTAATAAGCAAGCAGCGAAGAGTCCTGTGGCACCTTATAGACTAACCGAAGTGTTGGAGCATAAGCTTTAGTGGGCAAAGACCCACTTCGTCAGATGCATGCAGACGAAGTGGGTCTTTGCCCACTAAAGCTTATGCTCCAACACTTCGGTTAGTCTATAAGGTGCCACAGGACTCTTCGCTGCTTGCTTATTAGTACTGCATATTACTTCTTCAGTCTTCCTGTCATCACTGAGACCCAGAGCACTAAGTGTCTCTTGTAAGACAAAGGATGAAAGTTTGCCCTCAGTTACAAATGTGCAATCCTCAAAGCCAATGGAAATGCACATGAGTAATCAAGAGCAAAAACTTGCTTCTCCCCAATAAAGCTATTGTATACTTCTCATTAGTTTGTATGTAGGCATTCCCCAGGTCTCTAATGCCTGAAATGATAGATGTGAAGCACTGAAAACTCATCCTCTGTACTAAAGTGCTCAGTGATACAAAGCAAGCAGAAAGCCCCAGCAGTCCAGGACTGGAAGTGAGATAGGCAACATCTCCAAAGTGATTGTGCGCCCAGACTGTCAGGCCTCTAAAATGGGAGATTAAAATAAAGAGGCAAATCTGGCTTAACAGCCAATCATCTAGGACAGCCCCAGATTGAAGTGGCTAATCTTGATTTTTCTCACCATTGTATACCCATCTCAAGCATTCATATGTTAAATTGATCTGCACAATTTTCCAGTGTGATGATTCGTTCTTTATCTGGACACTGGTCTCTTACTAACCTGTCCAGCCTTAAAGCAACAGCTCCAGCAAGTTAATGAATTTTTTGAAGAAATCAAAGAACCCTCTCTCTGCTTAGAAAGCACAAAGATAAGGGAACAAGAAAAAGTTGTGTTGGCTTGTGCTCCATGCACACAGATAGGAAATACTGACTTTGATTCCCAAGTGGAAAGAGACAAATCAATAGGGAAATATTTTGAAGCATCTGCGTGAGTGTTATAAAACAGGAGCGAAAATTAAAGTGACAGGAGCGAAAATTAAAGTGTAGTGAGAACGGTTTCTCTTTAATCCTGTATATAATACAGCTTTTTGCATCTCACAGCAGTATCTATAACCTCTTCAGAAAAGCTTTAGTATTTGGTTAGTCATTCTCTCTAATGAGGTTTGTGAAATCCCTGCTAAAATTAGCAATGACATCACCACCCCTCGTCCGAGACATTATTCATCAGCATTCCCTTCTCATAATGGGAAAAAGCCAGCAGATGTATATAACATAGTGTTACCCCATTTGGCCCAAACTACTCAAATTAGAGGTCAAGTAGGCTGTTCCAGTTGGGAGTAGAAATTAATGTCCTCTTGTATTTTTGATATGAAGCTACCTTTTGGGGGGCTTTATAAAGCATGGAAGAAGTCCTGCGCCTCTGAATGCAGAGGGAATCCAAATAGCAGGAAAGGTGTTTTTGTGGGGGGGGGAGGGTTAATTTTAAAGCCTTCACCCTATCCCAGAGACCTCCCCAGGTTTTACTGCCACTGTGCTTCCAGCTGGTCCTTCACTTCTGTTTGTCTCTGCTCTTATCTGGCCTTAGTTCGTATGATCTCTTCCCCCGTGTTCTCCCTCCCTGCCCCCCACATACTCCAAACCATACTCTGCCAAGAATTCCTAGGTGGGCACTCAAACCTTATCTTAGTTACCTTAAATAGAAGGATGAGTTCATGCCTGCCAATTTCAGTAGGGTTTTATACCCTAACAAGGTTTGTACCCAGCTCATAACATTCTATTAATTATACAAAAAAGGCCCTGAAATCTCTTTGAGTTTAGATGCCCAAAAAGTTGTTTAAAAATAACTTAATAGTAGTTTCCTAGGTGGGCACTCAAACCTTATCTTAGTTACCTTAAATAGAAGGATGAGTTCATGCCTGCCAATTTCAGTAGGGTTTTATACCCTAACAAGGTTTGTACCCAGCTCATAACATTCTATTAATTATACAAAAAAGGCCCTGAAATCTCTTTGAGTTTAGATGCCCAAAAAGTTGTTTAAAAATAACTTAATAGTAGTAGCCCAGGGTATGTCTACACTACCCTCCTAGTTCGAACTAGGAGGGTAATGTATGCATACCGCACTTGCTAATGAAGCCCGGGATTTGAAT